ACGTTTTCATATTAAGCAATTAACAAGGTATAGTATTCAGCTCTTAAAGTGACTTTTAATACAAAAACGTTTTGTTATTAAAGAGGTTTTAAATGATTGCGTATCCAAGACACTTCTTTGCTAAATTTGGTAAAACACCTGTCATTGCTTACTCTTCTTCTTTTGAAAGAAAGCATTTCACAATTTCCAGGACTGTCTTTTTTCGCGGGAGGTAGGAAGGACCTTAGTTCAGATCAACAGAAATAAGTCAATTTGATACGGATCCCCCTGAACAAAGCCCTGAGACATGGTCGAACCTGAAAAGGCGCAGTAGCTCTGCAGGCACCTTCTAAACGTACTAAGCGGTCGGTTTTCGAAGTCCCGAAATTTTTCCCCCTTAAGAACTGTAATTTTCACCCCTATTGAGCGGTTATGGTCACCCTTGACTGAGTCTCAACAGCCTGTTTGTCTAAACAGAAACTACCTACATAAAACCAAGAATAAACTCTCACGTAAAATTCATTTCATGTTAATGTTAGTTCAAATGTCTTCAACACATAGCAGATTATTTTCCCTCTTTAGACTGTTAGGACGAATATTAATTCTGAAAATCACGCAATTCATTTCCTGGTCAACCTATATCAAGGGCTCACCGCACCATTCCCCATGACGGTGACTGCTTAACACAGGTTCGACTGAACTACTTATAAGTCCAAGGAGTGGCGCGGAAGTGGCGGAGCCCGACTGACGGTGGCGATTTCATCATTCGTTTTCCATCCATGATTCGAATCGCGTTTGGGAATCAAAGTATTTATTAATCAAAAGCTCATTTCGTCATTATCACTTTAGCATATTTCCTTTTCATTTTGAGGTCCTAAATGTCTATTTCAGTCGGAATGGAACTGAAAAACCATCTTGAAAATTTGAAAACTTACTGCCAAAATGGACGAGACCTTTGCAGTCAATCGCAGCGACACTCATGTGAACACTGTCTCATGAACAATTTAGTGATTTACGTTTTCTTTTCGCGGCAAGGGCGCAAATACGCCATACTTTACGACACCCTTATAGAAATGTTGTTCTTTTCTTCTTTGTTTTAAAATACTCTTACAGCATCTTGCTGGTTGACACAGCAATATCCAATGGTAAGTTCTAAAAATCTAGCTACCATTAGGTAGCTATAAGACTTAGTGCAAACACCGAAGGAAACATTCTTACAGGATGAGCGAATCAAACTTGCATTTTTGTTACAGGGGTAAGTTTTTAAAGAAACTGCGGTGCTAGGCTGGTGAGGAGTATAACAAGATAAGTTGATTGTATCAGTTGAGTTGATAATGTACACTGGCCACCGTTAAAGGTTTCTAAAGGTGACGTTTCGAGAGCTAGACCTTCGTTAGAGCAAAACAAAGGGCTAACGCTCGAAACATCAGTAGGGTGGCTATTTTACATTACCACCTCATTGCAATTTGCTATGTTTGTCAGTTAGGCGAATCACAGCACTGCAGACGGTATGATCATTATTTTTCAAGAAATAAGGCCTGTTACATTCGTGACACGATTGCATTGAGTCACCAAAAAAGGGAAATAACAATTTATCCTAAATATCTCCCGATAAACGGTTTTTTCTTGGTTTGAGCAGAGAAAACTTTTCTTTGTGACAAATCAACAATGCGAGGTACAAAATAATGTTTAGAGAAAAACGAATTTAACATAAAATATTGGAGTGTCATTTCTTTGCGAGAAAAGCAACAACATCGTAATGGTTTTACCCGAAGAGGACAGTTATGTCCATTAGTCCTAATCAATCTCTGTACTCCTAAGTACTAAGAGATCTACAATTTTTATACCAGAAAATAGTTGGGAATAATTGATAACAACAAGCTTACAATGTTTCTTTAAACTACCGGACACATAATTGATTCTCTGATTTTTTGGATTAGTTTTGATCGGTTGTCTGTTTTCTTCGTTGTTTAATAGACATTAAACTGGTCAATTCATTAGCCTGTTACCTTAGCCTATACTTTGGCCTAGACTCGCTTTTACACTGAGTCTTTGAAATCCTTCTTATTTTTAAGTTTTCTATCCCAATTGACCAAGCAGTCTCAGGCCTTTACCGCCGCGACATTATCATCACACTGTCATTGGATATGAGTTTAGGATACACAGCACCTAGAATGGTTGTTCACTGTAGCCTCCATCTGAGATTCAAACCGTTAATCACTGTTCTGTGATACAGGACTTGACACGAGTAAGTAGTCACTATTTTCATGATTATCATTAATTATTATCACTATTTCTATAATCGTAATTGTTTGCTTACTACCCTTTTTAGTAATCACAGTGGACTAGCCACTCAATAGTCATAATAACACTGGTAACTAACACTGAGTGAATAAGTGAATCAGTTGATTAAAATCTACTCAGATCTTAACTCTCCCACTTTCAAAAAATTGTTTGTCTTCAAAAAAAAACAACAACAACAACAACAACAAAACAAACAAAGAAAAAAATAAAGGTAAAGGCAAATTTCGTTATAAAAGGAAAAAACATTTTCAAATAAAGTTTTCACCACGCATCGGCGAATTATTCGAGCTCTGACCATCAGATGGTTTGGCCGATTCAGGACCATGCGCCTCAATGAGCGAACACCGAGCGAGCGAATCCGGCAGTTAGGGATATAAAAAAGATTATAGTTGATAGTTGATTCAACTATGGTAGCTCTCCGCCTGACTAATGATTATGACTATCTGTCTGATGTTCCTATTTTCGACGCACAGTAGTCTACATCTACTCACGTTTCTGACTTCTTACTGTGTTTTAAACACACACAACTTGGGTAGAAAATCACACCTTTTCTAACTTAAAATGTTATGTTGATTACAATAAAGAATCGTAATGAGCTATTGTAAATAGTTGTAGTAACGTAAACTAATACTCGTCCGAACCTTGAAGAAAACTCGGCCTTAATAAAGCTATTAATGTTGGAATTTTCGATCAAGGCTTGGAGAAAAATCTCCCTCTCTACAGGTTCCAATTGCACATAACTTGGTCATGATGACAAGAAGAGAAGTAAAACTGATTCAGGAAATCATATGATGGTGACGTTTCCGTTTTCCAATTCTTTTCACCGCTTCATAGCCTGACCTCATTACCATATTTGTAAATAAATGTTAAGGGAATCTTATGACAAACAAAATTGTACAACGACTATATAATGACCACAACTAAACATATTACACAACAGTGTAAAGCGTTCCTTCTCTGGCTGATGTAAGGCGGTTCGTCATCTCCTTATTTTCTGTGTTGTTGGACGATACACAGGTAAGCTGGCTTCAATGTGTGGTCCAGCATCGGACAAATGAGCATTACTAAAATTGTCGTCTTCGTTCAGTAAGGACATCTGTACAACAGGGGCTCCATTTCCCGATGGGGAGAGACGGCGACGGCGACACATAACAACAAGGATAGCGACCACGAGGCTTACCAAAAAGATTCCAAGAATGCACGGTACCACAATCACATAGAGCCTGATTTCTATGGAAAAAAAGGGAATTAGAGTCAAGTCTCATCATTTGGAAACAGAGATAATAATTAAATAAATAAATAAATAAAACAGTATGCTCCCGCTCTGAAGTGTGAGAATTCTGAGCTTATTGTATTTAGATCGGTTCTTGATTTTGCTCCCGGGGCATTCAAATTTTAGAGCCTACTTCAGTAAAGTTTACCAAATTTTCTCGGCACGTGCAAACAGTCAACTGGATTGTCCCATAAAAGTTGTGATTTTTAATAAAGATCATCTCGGATTTGAATGACGTATGTGCGATGTAGACTTCTACAAATGGAACGCGCGTGAAGGGGAGGGGTTGAGGCGGCTTCAGCCCCCCCACCCCCCTCATCCCTTCCTTCAAATATTACGCTGTAAAACAAAAAACAAAATTGAATAAGATCACAAAAATTTCGGGCTTCGATAAGATTAAGCCCCGTTTCAACGATCATGATCATTGATGTTAGTCACAACTATATTGCGTTTTAGAACGGGCACTAATGTACACTTCCGTCAACTTTCATTAGCTACTATGTCTAATATAACGTAGCTTAAGTACCTGAAAGGCAGAAATTCGCATCCCATCGCAGCCCAATTTTTTTTACTATAAGGCTTGTTTTTCTGCAATGCTTGCAAATGTAATGTGACTGTGAGACCAACCTCTCGATTTGGAATTAAGTTTCGTTGCCATTGGCAAAATAAAAGCACACTTGACTTACACACACGTGAGACAGTTATTTAAAAATAATTATTCAATTTCAACGTCATGGTTCTACATATGTGAGTCCCACAGATGGCTTTCTTCGGCAAAAATGTCTCCCAACGAAAAGATTTTTTTCAAGAGAGGATGAGGCTCGTGGTCTCTTGGTAATTGTGTGTTTTATCATTTAGATCTGAATCGATGACTGGATTTAACTGGAAAGGCGATTCCTAAACAAACTGCGAGGTTGATGGTCGAGTTGGTAAACTCGAAAACACCTACATTCAGTAAACGATCGGTTTCCACTGACCTTTGGTTTTGCTCAACAGTAGTCGTGAAGCAAGTAAACAATTTGACAATATTAGAGAGTCATAAACAAAGAACAGATCAATATTCTTTTTTGAAATAACATTATTTTTTTGGAAAAATTTCGGACAGTAATGATAACAGAAAAAGGAATTTCGGTAATACGATATCGATTATCACTGGGTCCCTAACATCGTTTGTACACCTTTGGGGTAACTATAGATAAACAAAATTATTACATCATCTACAGTACGGGAAATTTCATTGTTGTAGCAGTGAATTTAAGGATCGAATAACGAAGGTTTATTGACCTCTTTAAAGCGGAAACAGCGCCAAAAGTTTGTTTGATATTTTTCAGAGTATTTCCCGTCATTTCTGAACAATTATTCAATATCGTGAAACGCCTACCCCTTGAAAGTGTTGCTTTGAACCCAGTGCTGTCATATACTTGGTTGAGGTCCTTTGATGCTACAAACTCTATCCAAACGTTATTTCCTGAAGTGTATAGGGTGCCAGGATTTGAGCAGTATGTCCCTAACACTTGGCTTTCAGGCGAAGAACCATCATGCACTCTTAGGAAATCACATTCCTGACATCTAGCACAATAGCGCAAGTCGAACTTAGAGAATTCAATTTTCACGCGATATCCCGAGGGAGAAACCACTGACCACCGAAAATGCGAATTCCTCGGATATCTGCCAGGAAATAGTGGACTTGAAATATGTGCGGTTGATGTTGTTACCAGGTCGACCCCTACAAAAAGAAGGAGAAAGGATATCAAAAAGGACTTAATAAATAAACATTCACATGTACACTTAAGGATGATGAATGCCAAGTCGTAGTCTTGGCATGAGGCGATATGCAAAGTCCTAGCCAGAATGATCTCTACATACCGTGCACTCTGATTCAAAAACTTCTCTTTTCACTTCTGTTTTTGTACAACTACCGCGCCTTACTGAGACAATTTTATTTGACGGGAGTAGTGAGACTTAACCAGTCATGGTCTCCGTCATTGACTGAGATTAAGTAACCTTTGAAAAATGGTTTTGCTTGGACATTCTCCTTACAGACTATTTTTAGTTATTTTTCACACTAAAAACCATTTTTACCAGCGGTTATGGAAGTTCGTTTGAAATTCCCGAGATTCGCCGCGAAATCAGCCATTTAAATTTCGTATGTGTCGATCAAATAGTGACACTTGAAACGAAGTCGTGAATTTTAAACCTGAACCCTTGTTGCCGGGTTTTTCGTTTGTGCTCCCTCTCCTTGAATGGCCAGCGGGAATTCTTTCGTAAAGAAAAACAAGTTATACATCATAAAGCTTGGTTTCTTTGATTAAAAAACATCATATCAACCTGATCGAACAGAAGTAAAATAGTGCGAGGAACAATAATCTCATTTTTAAACACAACTTACGAAGTTGTGAAAACAAAGCTCGAAAAAAAATTGTACGGTAATGGTATGAAAATTATTTAGTTGGACTCACGAACAAAGATTTACCTAAGAAGTAATATCGATGCGGTTACGTGCAATGATTCCTGTAAAAGTAGTTGTGAAAATAAACCCTAAATATCATACGAGCTTGAACGAAGCCTAAATGTATTTTTGAGATTTTATTTTCACAACTTAATGCTCTTCTTTTTCTTTACTTAGCTGTCTTTCATGTTTATGGTACATCAAAAGTTGTTTCGCTATAACGGAATGATTTTGGAGGACTACTTTTGTTAGTCAATTCTTCTCTAATAAGTAAAGGAACTATTTCATTTCTCTTTATCTGTGGATGTTTTAAATACCGAAATGATCTTAACTGGTGAGGTGTAATAGAAAAATTGGAAGAAAAGAAAGCGTACAGAAAATTCCAGCTTCGACGGGGTGCGAACCTGTGCGTCCCAGATCCTCGCTATTGGGGGGCTATACACTAACAAAGATACGGAGCCACATGTTGGAAAAGAGGCAAAGTTAGTGATTTCTCTGTTATCCCCTAAGGAATCTCATCATATATGACCGAAATAAATCAGTTTGTTATACGGCAAAGAAGTCCTGAGGTAAATTCGTTTTTCAGTTTTGATGTAACATTTTGCCACTTTTCCAGTTTTAGAAGGACCTTAATACCCCTCACAGAGTAATCGTTCTTTAAATAGCGAATGTCCTCGGTATGGTTGAGTTTGTCTTAATTACCCTTAAACATATAACTCGATTTTGCTTAAAAAAAGTAATGTGCCATTTGATAAACTGATTTTCGAAACCGTTGAAGGTATTAAACATGACTGCGGAGCCTCCTCTGTGACACAAGAGGGACTCCCACCCACCCCCCTTTGAAAATCAAAACAGAACAAAAACGAAATGCAACAACGTGCATGTATTGTTCAATACACCAAAACTTTCACTGAAATAAAAAATTATGGTTGAACCAAGAACAACTTCAAAATAATTCAGTTAATAATAATAATGAATAAAAAAAGTATTTGAAATTATTACTATCATGAGATGGCCAAGATTCGTATTCAGCAGTGAACCAGCTCTCTTTGTCATCTGCTTCCAACTGGAAATTCACGAGAAGGGTGCTTGTGTCGGTGGACAAAGGTTCGGGTATGCTTGCTTTGAAATCACAGAATGTGTACCATGGTGGTTTATTAGAGCTGTTCCTCAGTTCTATGCGAGTGCAGCCAGCGCACCTGTTTTCATTCGAGTAACTGTTACCGCAATGCTCAATCCCGTAGAAGTTGAAGTAAAAAACTATCCGTGAATCTTCGGGGACCTTAACTTCCCAAGAACAAATTCCAGATTTACCCGGATCTGGACTGCTTAGCTGACCGTTGGCTCCTGTAAGAATATTTTTTCCCCTTTGGCAGACTAGCGAGAACGAAAAAAAAAAGGAATGTAAACGGCTAAACCAAATCCAAGATAGTCCACCCAACAATCATATAAAACGTACAATTACTTCAATTACCGCTGCTGGAAATCTGTAGCTTGCTCGAACGTAGCAAAATCAAAATCACCTTACTACCACAAAAAAAACCCCATCCTCTCTGAAATTTGGATCAAATGTTGATTATCGTGCTATGTCTGGAAATAATTTAGTCAAGAGCTATACTGCTTTTGTCGATGACAATAATCGATTAAGCGGCTCACAAATGATTCTTCGCTATTTATATCAACTCGCAATGAACACGATTTAAAGAAATAACTTCTTACTTGTTGAGTGTGTTTCAGTTACCAAGAGAAGAACTGAAAGAGAAATGCGTACAAATGATAAATGTCACGGCAAACATAGCTGCTCAGCTTCCGTCACGCATCATCTGGTCGACAGTTCTCTCGTATGCAAATTACACACTGCTGAAACTCCAATCGCAGGTTTAAAATCGAAAAAACATATTGTTAGAAACCTTTTTGCCTACCTCAACACTTCTTATTAAGAGGACTGAGAGCAAGATAATAATATGGATAAGTGACCTGCCTTTGAACTGAGCAAACAAACAGTTTGCCTTCAAAATACTGATAAACCCTTGTTGTTTATTAGCCTTCTGCTCGGTCACGCAACTTTCATGCGAACAAAACAAAATTTAGACTACATGGACTGAAATAATCGAGTTAGCGCCTGATAGACAAAGTTGAAACAAAAACATAGATATGATGTTTTCGTCTGTCTGTTGTAATCTGCCGTCGCAGACATTATTAATACTTTTACTATGCAGGTGATTTAGATTGCTCGCACTTCACGAAAATGTCAGATGAAACGGTAACGACACAATCAAGCTTTTTAACCTTGTTTTAACTAACCTGAACCGTATTTTGTACACAAAAGTATCCACACAAAATCGTTCGTAATCCATAATCGCATGATCAACAAAAATTGTATCTTGCAAAACCCCTTGAGCACGCCTGTTGTGGTTCGTTATTTCAAAATACTGCCATTCGTTTGGTATGTCAAAACATTGACTTACCGGTTGCTACAACCACAAGCATTGTTGGTGATACAGCGTCTAAACTCAAGCCTCCTTCTGTGAACCGTGAACAGTGTGACCGTGAATTAAAAGCAGTCTTATCAACTCTTGCGTGGGGAGATATTGCAGACCAAAGTGCGGAGAAGAAATATATGGATGACTAAATATATCCCATAGTGCTCACCGAGAATAATTAGAGCTCGTCGTTTCCCTGTTCTCATCCCCTGATGCATGCTGGTCAGGTAGAAACACTATTGCAACATTTTTAATCATAATGAACATGAAGAGAGCTGACAAATTAGTGGAATCAGACGTTTTCAGGAGAAAATAGCAATGTGGGAAACAAGAGAATATAAACTATTTATATTCTCTTGTAGAAAGTAAGTCTGGAAAGAGAGTCTTCATGTTTGTTTATTTGCAAAATTCGATCATAAATATGGATTTTTTAAAATTCGTGCATATCAACAAAAGCCCTCAAAGGCCCAAGGCCAAAAATTTGAAACCAATTTCCAAGGAGCATACTTTAAAGCCAAACGCAGGAATTGTGTTAACCTATCCTTTTTTTTTTCTGGCAGCACACACACACACAGGTTAAATTTCCGCGGAACTTCATGAACAAACAAATATGCCTCTCCTCTCTTGAAAAGGATGGCAGGGAGTTAGCTGTGATAAGTCTTAGTAGAATGCGTCAAAAGAACTCTACCGGCACAGCCCAGCACTAGCCATATAGAGGAGTTCGGTCGTCTTCTTACAATTAGACAAGGGCTATTCCCTAAACTTCCCCTTCTTTCCACTCCCTTTCGTCAAGATCCTTTCCTTTATCGATAAGGTGTCTAGAACTTGTCGATGCTTAAATATTCTCTCTAAATCAAAGCCTTTCGTTCGTGCCAGCCTCATAAGTTGGTGACAACGAAGAGTTTTTCATGTCTACTTTTGATTGTTCTCCGTAATTCCATGAATGGCCCGGAAACTATGCTGTTTAAAATGAAGATGCCGATTATCATTGATTGCGAGCGTTCTCTAAACCAAAATGGATATCAGCTTTTTCCCCTCTCACTTTTGAAGCTTCCATTGCCATTGTAGATAAATATTTTTAGCTTCCTTAGCATCCCACAAACGATATCAAAACTATTATATCTTACCTCACCCATCATTAGGCTGACTTCGTACAGTTTAATGATCCTATGTATTGAGATATCATTAGAAAAAAGATTCGAGCAGGTTTCTCTTCACTCTATTTATTATCATCCTCCTTTTTAAGGCAACATTTATATCTACAAGCTAAATGAATTATACGTTAATACTTTTATAGAGCACTTTTAAATTACGTGTCAGAAGTAACCAAGGACTGCATGGTTTTACTTTATCTCACTCTGTGATTGATTCAGAAATTAAACCAGCGGCATCTTCGTCACTACGTTTACCTTCTTTACAGGTACTTTGCTTGTTTTTACTTTCTCAATATTCTTATTTTTTTGTTTCTTTTTTTTATTTTTGGTTTAACGACACTCAATCGAAGAGCGCTCTTTGACTCTTAAACACTAACACTCACCTCTAAGAGGTGAGGTCATTTCTGAGTTACCACGTCATTACAGCACAGACTTACTAAGGCTACTTCCTCTAACGGATTCCAGTCACGTATTTATTATTTATTAATTATTATTAAGCTGGTAATCAAATTCTATATTAAAATGCGATTTAAGCTTCTCATACATTCTTATACCCATCATGATTGACTGACTGACTAAAATGAAATTGACTACTGCTCTAATTCAAATCAAGTTCCAAAAGAATATAATTTTTATTATAAAAAGTCTGATTGCAGAGGGTCGTTAGAAGATAAAACTACTTCATAAAAGCATTTCGCTCTACTATACGTTATTTTAAAGAGAAGCCTTTCACAAAACTATGAAATAAACTAATTAAAACTAAAATTGTTGTGACTTAATTTGATGCTTTCATAATAACTAAACATAGTAGCCTATTCCTCCTTGTTCTGCCACTTCTCTTTCATCGGCATGAAATGCACTATGTAGTTTAAATTCTACCTCAGGCAGTTGATAATGGCAAGAGATAATACCCACAATCGCAGAGTACATCAAGCAAAATCATCTGTTTTGATAAACTTTCGTCTGATATTGCTATCATTATGAACGGTAATAACTATGAATTTCAACAGGCATTTCATATTCATGACCTTTCAAATGTACGAAACAAGGAATCTGAAACAAAACTACTAACCATGCCGCACCCTATAACACTCTTCAAACAGGATTATCATGATTTTCACAAGCTAAAAATCTATGTCGGCTTAGAGAAAAATTTTTCCAAGCTAAAAATGTGTGAACTAAACTATTAACCACCCTACCTCGGGGATGAAAGAACAGCACTCTACATTCTTTGACCACTTACGCGCGTATCGAGGCTGTGTTGACGATCAGTTGTACTTGTCAACATAACCTGAACTAAAATCAACGTACAAGTATTCTACATGTTCTAATTCAATATAAAATATGAAGAGCCCTCAAAGTCCTTCACGCTAAGTTCCTACTAGATACACGGATAAATAACCTCGTGACACGTTTACAACCAGTAACTCCATGTCACTGCTGCATTTATAGTCCCCTAGCTTAGATATCTCATTAGATGTTTTGGTGTGAAGTATCGCTGAGTACGAGTTGTGCCGTATTTTGAAAAGCCCGATGGGCGAGTCAAAATACAAAAGTACTAAGCAATACTAAATTCCAAAACATCTAATAAGTCATTTATTATCCAACTTTTTTTCTCTGCCAAGTGTTTCTGTTCATTTTTCATAAGAGGAGAGGCAAAGCGGAAAGAGAAGCGTAGCGCGAGCAGCCGACCGGTTAAAGAAGGTTTTAACGGTACGAAGCAACCAACTGTACTATGTCGCAAAATACTTGTACCCTATTCGCGCGTTATTTGTATTCTACTTTGTGTGATTGGATAATAAAATGCATTACTAACTAGTTTAGTAAATATCCAGTTTATCCGCACAGAAATTACACACGTGTCAAACCAACGAATCCTGGAAATAGGCCAAGAAATGTTCATCCTTGAACATATTCTCCTTCTACTGTGAAGTTAGTAAAATGATCAGTGGAGGGAGGCAGTTGATCAGGGGCTGTCGGCGGAACATCAACTTGCAGTGTACCAGGAGACAGAGACGGTGCAATCGTCGGTACCACTGTGGCATCTGAGAGGGGCTGCAGGGAAACGTCGTTCACACGAGACGATCCAGCCGGTCCAGCAGAACGATTTATCTTAGTGCACTTTATGACAACAAAGATAATGGAAAACAGGACAACTGCGATAACAATTGGCACGACGATGGCCGCAACTTTAACATTAGAACCTGGATCAAACAACAAATGAAACAGGGAGAAGAGTAGTTGCTTCAAAGTATGGTGATTTGAAGGAAATCATTGCTCGCGTAAAATTCGAAAGAAAAGTTACCTTTATTGGAACTGACTGTTGCGCGAAAGCGGGCACTGCTGTAATCACTGTAAAAAACAACGAACAAATGGTTTCCTGTCGATGTCACTGTGCCAGAGCTTACACTGCCACAGTATTCGCCGAGAAGCGGATCACTTAATGAACTTCCATCTCTAACTTTCAGATATCCACATGAACAGCTATAACAGCCTGACATATGCATTGTCTCAAGACTAAACTTCAGGTTGTAACCCTTCTTTGTAGAAATTTTGAATGTGCAGCTTGAATAGGGAGCCCTGGTGTTCCAGTAGTCGTCATAACCTGAACGGATGGATGTCGAGCTTGTGCTTTCAACGTAAACACCTTAAAATGAAAAATAAAATACACATTTCCATAAAATCTAGATAGTTAAGAAATTCCAAAAGTGAATTTGTTTTTTAGTGGACAAATTTTCCGAGCTAGTGTATTCTAGAATATCGCTGCGTTGTCGCCATTTAGAGATTCTTGTGGTAAGACTGCCCGGCACGGTCTCGAATGGACTAAATGACCTGTAGTTAGAAGTTTTCACCAAGATGGCTCTGAAAACTCCATACAAACCTATTGAGTAAATCAGATGTTTGTTAAGAAATTTCACGCGATTCAAAGAATTGCCTGGATTTTTTTAGTGGTCAAGCTTATATGTACCGTATGAAACACATAAACATGTTATAACGCTTAAGAGGTCAAGTTGGTTTCTTAACCCTTTAAATCCTATGAGTGACTAGCATCAAATTTCTCTCTACAATATCATCCCTGAATCACTCGTTAAGGTCATGAAAATAAAAGAAATGATTACCAACTAAAGAAGCTTTTGATTGATAAATAAATTATCCTTGTCGACAACTCAGGAAATGTGTAAAGAGCAGTACGGAGAATGTGCATACTGATTTTAGGGTGTAAAAGGTTGAGGGTCACCTACGTCAGAGCAGCTTCAAATTCAATGCAGGAAACCTCAAATAAACCTTTTAAATTCGATGTCTGTGTAGATATTCCAAGTGATTCTAGAATTACTTTGTTTTTGAGTAGGCAAATTTTCCGAACTTCAACCACAAAATCGCTTAGTTGTCGACACTTAAACAGACTGCCGGAACTAAAGAGCCGGCAGTCGGAAATATCCACCGAATTCTAAGAAAACTTTTTTTCACGGAGTACAGATTTAAAAAGGTTTTCCCGTTCTACCTTTACCAGTGTACAGGGCCTTTAGGGTATTGTACAGCTACTGTCGGAAATATTTACATCAAGTGAACCAAAATACAGCATAAGGGAACACGTTGATTTGCTGGCTTACAGAAAGAACTTTTACATAGAAAGAAGTGATAAAAGTGCCATATACAACGTTAAACGCTTCGAAACCTTTCAAAAGCATTTTGGTGAATACTTTTTTCTAACCGAGCATTTAGTCTACACGAGACCGTGCCCGGCAGTCTGATCAGAAGCGTCGAATTTCAAGTGTCAATAACCGAAGGATATTAAATGCACAAGCTCGGAGAATTTATCCACTTAAACAACAAATTAATTCTTGGAATCGCTTGACTTTCTAAACAAACATCTGATATTCTTAAGAAGTTTGAAAGAAGCTTTCAGTTGAAATTTTGAGAAAAGTTCTGACTGCCGGACATTTAAGGTTACTTAAATGGTAAGGTTACTTAGAATGGTACTCTTTCTTTCTTCTTTAGGCCTGTTTTCTTTCCTGTCTCTTTTTTTTTTTTTCTCTCTCTTCCGCTTTTGATTTTTCCATGGGCAAAGATTTTTTCAGAAACAAATAGCTTCCACGTGCGAATTTTGTAAAGTGCGCGATTCAAACACATGCCCCAACATGAAGCGGTTGCCGCGAAAATTCTCCCAGGGAATTTGCCTAAGTCTGAGATTATGACACCTGCCTGATTTATTAAGTTTTCTTGAAAATACGTTTTTCTAAATAATTCGGGTGCTTTTAAAGATTTCAGAAAGGTTTTTTTTATGGAAACGTTAGGTTGAATTTTTGAATCCAGTTAAATAAAAAAAAATCGATTTTTCGGCCTTCGAAGGAGGGAATCGAAGTTACCTTAATTCATTGCAGACCGTACTTGGCTGCCGGGCATTTAGCCAAAGCGTTATTCACAACCCTCAGAGACTTTGCTCGTGTCATGTTAACAATTATTAACCCTTTACACCCTAACATCAGTATCCATAGTCTCCATACTCTGCTCAGTACATTTCCTTTAGTTTAGCAGTCAAAGCTTCTTCGGCTGCCGATCATTTCCTTTATCCTCATGATCTTAATGAATGATTCAGCTGTATCAGCGTACGGAGAAATTAGATGCTGGTCACTCTCAGGGTTTAAAGGGTTAACTACGATCACATAGTGTGGTCTGCCTATGATCTTATGTAAACATTGGCGGCTGGATCGGTCAGAAGCGGACGACAATAATCGTGTGCTTGAAAACTTGTGGAATCCGTTGCCGCATATCTTTAATTTCAATTGGTCAGGAAAACTGGCCGTCACTTAAAATGCATACTGACGTAATTTCGTTCACAGGCAGAGAACCTGGAGGTTTGTTATTAGATGCAAGCGGGAGAAAACCCTGAAAACAAAGATTATTGGGTTACTATGCAAATATTTATTGAGCAACTGTGTGACGAAATGTGACGACGACGACCTAGGAATAGAAAATACTGGATTTTGGCTTGTGCAGACTTAGCGCCTTTTTTGTCATTTTATTGCCACCTTATTGCCGCCTTATTGCTACCTCGCATAATTTATCGATGTACATGAAGCAGTAATATGCCTGTCCTCTCGTTTTTCGCGCCAAGCGCCGTTCAGTAACTTTTGTAATTGTTTGTTATTTTAGTTCCAACCAACGTCGTTTACGCCGTTGGGGAATTAAAGTAATTATATTTATTTCTGCACGATGTGGAGTTGTTTATTTCGTGGCCACAATTTCGTTTAGTGCAGTTTCAACGTTATTTGAACCAGAAGACTTCTTTGGACCAAGTCCGCAAGGACGTGCCCTCACAGTTACAAATTTTGCGCGTTCCACTGCTCTAATTTCGTAAAATGACGTTGCAGTGGACTAATAAATTTCAAGACAACCTCTTTTTACTGTACAAGTATGATCTTACTAAGCTATAGAAAATTGGTGAACTTACTTATTTCAGAGTTGTAACTACTACAACTGTGTTGTAAAGCAGACGCCGTTGTTGGGTAGTAAGGTCTGTAAGTAGTCCAGGGTCTGTAAGTCGGCCAGACTGGAGCTCTTGTTGGGAAGCTATATCCCGTTTGGTACAGTGCCAGGAATCCCGAGAAGGTGTCGGAAGAATCAGAGTGGAACTCAACAGTTAAAGAGGAGGATGATGAGGAGATGGAGGATGGAATTTGAAACCCGCAGTACTTTCCAAGCTGAGTGTAGTAACCATCTTGCACCTTCACGTAGTCGTATGCGCACGAAGAAGACGTCTCCAGGTGGAATTTTATGAACGTCAATTTAACCCTTTGTCCCGTAGGTGCTCTAATGCGCCATACACATGACCAGTAGCTCGGATAATTCCAAGGAAAATTAGGACTATAGACTACGCCCACTGAGGCGTCAGGAATGATTGACGGACAACCTGAAATGAGTGAACAGCCAATTACAAGGTGTCAACATAAATGACTTCAGAAATGTTTTCCGCCGCAGAACATTCTAAACATTGCCTGATTCCAGTTGCACGCGAAGACCTCTGCTATCAGTCTTCGTAAAAAAATAGACTGAATGGAAAAGCGAGAAAATATCGCTCAAACAGATAAAGGCTCGTGGTGAGAGCAACCTTCGCTCGATCGCAATTGACAATTTTTTCACCAGGGATGCATGTGAAGGTCTATATTGGAATTTCTGCTTCTGATCAGAAATATTGCGACGAAAAAAGCGTCTATAGCACACATTAACGTAACATTTAAACCTTACCCGCAGGATTGCCAACATGTAGACAAACACATCTGTTCGCATATATTCACACTAATACATGAATGCACGACCGTGAAATCGGTGTTGTAGCACAGTTGTTCAGTTTATGTTTTTTTTAGCAAATTATTTTTACTTTTCTATGTTGACACCATAAGTGGTTGCTTTGGCACACAGTGGTTTCCTTGGAAAGTCTTCGTAGTAATTTCATTCCTATATTTTCGATCGTCGGCTTGTGTAAACACAAAAAAATTGTAGGAGGAGATTATTCAGTTTTTCGCGCTCACGAAACGCGAAATTTAAATATACTCGGATTGAACAGTCGAGTCAAATGGGAGAAAGAGACGAGCATGTGCGACTATTTTCACTCGCCATTGTTTTTTTTAACTCCTTTCGTTGAATTTAAATACGAAAAGAGAATGATACCCATGAAACTACGTGAATTAACGACGCGCGAGGCTTCGAACGTTATTACCAGGTTTAAATCACACGCTAGAGGAAGGAGAATATGAACCTTATTGTGCACACTAGGAACAAAATCTTATTCACGCAGCGCGAGATTTAAATACACGCACATTAAACAATCGAGCAAATGACGATAGTCTTCTACATGATTCAACGGTGCAGGAGGCTTCGGACGTTAATGCCAGGTTGCATATACTCTCATAACCTTTGCATCGCACAGTGAGCCTCTAGTTGAATCTATCTTTCACCAGTTTTAAGCAATATAAAGGAAAAAACAGTGACATCTCTTTACTTCAGATACGAAAGCAACAGTCCCCCACCATCCACCCCACCGTGACTATATGCATCCTAAAACATATATCAGAATAACCCCCACGGGGAGGATTTGTCTTATCGTCAATTTTGCCGATGGTTTAAAACTGCCGCTCGTATGATAAATCGGAAATTTTGAAAAATCCCGAGTGTATTTTGAAGCTGTTTCCGCCATTGTTCCAAAGTGGCCATATAAGGTCATTGTTAATCGTTTATCAAAGCCTGCTGTAATCTAAGTTGACCCGCTTTTCTCTCTCTCTCTCTCTCTCTCTCTCTCTCTCTCTCTGCAGATTGAAAATAGGGCATTTTTGTTAACTTCAAGTCTCTTTCGGATATCTTGAGTAAATAACATGATTACATCGTCCTGAGTAGCTCAAACGCTTTTATGCAGAATCTACAACACTCTGTTAGAATCTTGCGGTCAACCGTATCAAAAACAATTTTTTACAAATTTTTAAACATTTCAAAGGTTACGAAATTTCCCTACTCCGTGGAAAGTACTTTTTAATTGCATTTCAACTCAAATTTTCATTGATAAGATAGATATCCGACTCATTTAGCATATTTTGGGCATTCACTCACTTTCCACAACTAAATATTTTGGGAGCAATTCACAGCCCAAAAAAATTTAGTAAGATTGTATGTTTTGTCATAGACAAGAGCTCCCTTCGAAACCTTTCAACATTTTAAAACTTAACTTTGCTGCTCTAAAGTCAAATTCTCACCTAACTTGTAGCGATTGAGGTTTAAAACAGTTTATATGAAAACAACATTATTTTGCCTAATTGTGGCACACAAAAAAACTTAAAGAAAAATTTTTTCCGGGGAAATTTTGGAAGTTTGAAGGGAAGAGACTTTGCCGGGTGACATAAGTGCCCTATTGTACTAATTTCGAATGATAACAAATTCATGATTACCTAAAGCCCTTGAATAAACGTTATGTGTCTGACTTATTTATTGAAAAAAAAAAGCTTTTATTCCACAGCACTTGCGTTACCAAATGTTTTTTCCGTTGGCGAGAAGGAGTGATGGATATTTGCAACGATTAGGGCACTTTTGTAACGATCAATGTATGCCACATAAACTGTTGATAACTCTCCTGATGGCTTTCCAACGAATAAAACAATTCATGTTATTTGTGTTTCTATAAAAAAAAAACCCGTTTAACTCATGTGAATCATTGTTCTTTTATTTGATGACAGTCTTCATAGGGGTATGCCCAAGTGGGGTGGGTGGGGGTGGTTGACATGACGGTCAGTTTATCAGTTGTACTATAAAATGCGTAATAAGAGGTTACGCTTGATTCGCAGCCGCTATTTTCCGATCGGACTGAAAAGCAGCACAAATTGACTTCAATACTCTGTGAAAAGCCAACGGATTGGTATAAGACGGCAGTTTCCTCAAAAGTATGCTGATTAATGTTGTCTGGTATTTATCTGCTGTCGAAATGTCATTCAGCTGCCTATATATATTTATAACGTATTTGCATGGTATTGTCAACAATACTACAACCGGCCTACTGGCCGGCTTTTGGTCAGTGCTCCATTCCCGGGGAAGAATTTCATGTGAACTATATGAAAGAGGTGGAGCCTAGAAACTCGTGGGTAAGTATTAGAATAAAATTCCTAAATAACAGCCCAATCTGGGCACTTTCACCCCTTAAATAAGTCATTATAGTAGGAAGGAGCAAAAAGGAAAGCAAGCGCGAAAAATATAGAATGAGGCCGGAGGGGTAGAAACTGGAACAGAAACTGGAACAGAAGCTGGAACAGACTGACACCATGATCAAACAGACAAGCAATTAATGCAAGCTATTTATACAAGCTATCCATTCAGGTTCGTAACAAGGTATATGAGATCAGGGATCAACGGCTTAGGGGTGGGGTCAGGGATCGCAGCCCCGGGATCTGGGATCACAACACTTGGGATCGGGATCAGCAGTGTTTTGGTGGAATCAGGGATCAAAATTGTGAACGTTTTTGGGATCAGGGATCAAAATTCCCAATGTTTTTGTGATCAGGGATTAAAATTCTCAACGTTTTTGTGATCAGGGATCAAACTTTGGGGCAAAAAACAACAAGAATTGAGTCAGAACTGTTTTGTGGTTGCATCCCACTGCTAACATTAATAGAGAAGTATCCCTGATGTCACCTATTGATGTTAACGTGCTAACCAGATGCTTGTTACCTCTTGAAACGAGGTTCTTTTGCTTCCGTGGCTGGCACATTAAAATAACAAAAGGCTTGTTTGTAAACAGATATCTTTCCTATATTCTGCAGCAATTTTTGGTTAAATTAGTTGAAAATGGAATGTCTTTGTCCAGCTGTAAAATTTCCTACGGCAATCCACTATTTTGAAAACCAAAACAACCTGTGTAACGTCGAAAAATTTAGATTTCGTCTGATAATAATCACGTTACAGAAGTACCCTATTTCACGTTACCAAATTGCCCTAAAGTTACCGAAGTGCCCTAGACCACGTTACTAAAAGGCCCGAAAGTTACTAAAGTGCCCTACACCACGTTACCAAAAGGCCTGAAAGTTACTAAAGTGCCCTACACCACGTTACCAAAAGGCCTGAAAGTTACTAAAGTGCCCTACACCACGTTACGAAAGTGCCCTGAAGGTACCAAAGTGCCCATCAATCTCTCTCTCTCTCTCTCTCCCCCTCTCTCCCCCCTCTCCGTCGGGATGACCTGTACCTGTGAAAACGTTTTACTTAATTTAACAACCTCTGTTAATTTCTTTGCAAATCTATTTCTTAGTTCAACTTTGATTCCACCTACATATTCCTTCCAAATTTTGTTATATTGATTATTTCATCTTATTTGCATCGGATCTCATCAACGAATGCACGAGAATAAAATGACGATCATCTCTTGATCAAACTATTCAAGACCAACCTGATGACTCATTCAGCACCCTGTAGTGTGCCACAAAGCCTCTCCTTGTCACGGCACTGTTTGATTTGAATTTCATGAAGATTTGATTACCAGTAGAATACACGGGAGCAGGAAGACTGTTTCCACAACTTTTTGACAAACGATTGTTGTATTGGCTTTGTCCATCATAAATTTCCACACTGTCACAGTTACACGAACTACACCCCCTTTCCAAATCGAATTCTGTAAAGTAGATGAGGAGTTTTTGGCCGAACGATGCAATGATTCGCCACTGACAAGACTGTAAATTACCATAATACCAAGGGTATCCAGGACTGAAAATGGAGTCATTTCTCCTGGATTCTGCATATATTGTTTCCACTCCGCCGTAACAAGCTGACGCTAAAAAAAAGGACATCAAATCGATTCAGTTTTGTTACAGTAGTTCACCTCCAACTTGTAATAGCAACCTATACATCAGCAGGGCTATTTATTGTCAGTGATAGTGAGTCATCTTATGAGACACTCTCAGGAAGGATTAAATTACTAACTTTACATAACAGGAGACTACAAGATGTAGCATTATCTATGTTTAAAGGTAAAAGTTACCTGTACCCAGATTGTAACATCAGATTATTATTATTTTTTACGATAGCACTATCTAAAACTTAAGAACGAAGAACTAAGTAATCCCTTGAGTAAACAGTTCGCATTTTGGGAAGGATTCGGTGAGGTATCTGGGGTCACCACTTTTGTCCAAATGTTGTCCAGAAACTAATCAGAAAACAAGATCTAGCTATAAATGACTGCAAAAATTGCGCTCTGTGCAACTCTTAATTTGTATATATATATATGCTATAATTGGATATATTTAGGTATTATAGGATTTTATACAATAGAAATTTGTTCCAATTTTCAATTGATTTATTCGAATAACTCTTTTTATGGCTACTGCCTCCCATGGAGGCAAAGCCATCATGTTGTTCTGTTGAGTGAGTGAGGGTAACAATAATTTAATAATAAAAATAATTTATAGCCTTATATTGCGCAATTATCAATATAAGAATGTTCAATTGCGCATTACAATTAAATGTTAAAAATTCAACCCCTACATAGATACTAAAAACTAAAAATAAAAAAAAAACAAAAAAAAATAATAATAAAAAATAAATAAATAAAGAAAGAAATGATCACTAAGAAAATGAAAAATATGAAATTAGATACAAAGAATTAAAAAGCTTTGGTAAATAAAAAAGTCTTAATGGCCTTCTTAAACTTGTTTAAAGATTGGGTGTGTCTGATAGAGCCCAGAAGATCGTTCCACAATTTAGGGGCGGCCGCATGGAAAGATCGATCGCCGAGAGTGGTGAGTGTTTTACCCCTGCAAGGAGCAAGGAGTAAGCCGTCATTGGAACGGAAATCATATCTTCCGGTGTCTCTAACAGAAATCAGCCCACTTATGTAGGCCGGGGCAAGACCATGTATTGCTTTAAAAGTAATTAAGATAATTTTAAAAACTATGCGATATTTTACAGGCAGCCAGTGTAATGATTTGAGCAGAGGTGTGATATGACAAAATCTGCTCTCCTGGAATATAAGGCGTGCAGCTGCATTCTGGACTCTCTGTAATTTGTGAAGATGGCACTCAGGAACTCCAAATAGGAGGCTGTTACAATAGTCCAAGCGACTAGATATAAAGGCATGAATAAGTGTCTCCGTGCATTCTTTTGTTAAATATTTTCTAATTCTTCTAATGTTACAAAGATAGTAAAACGCTGCAGAGCAAGTCTTGGTGATATGATCAACCATAGATAGGGTTGAGTCAAACCAGACTCCAAGGTTTTTGACAGGAGAGTGCGGAGCTATATTTACTTTGCCAACTTTAATGTGTCCAATATCAACTTTGGCGAGCTGCTGCTTCGTGCCAATTAAAAGAATCTCAGTTTTTTCCTCGTTCAACAATAGTTTATTCTCACGCATCCAACACCTGATCGCCTTAATATAACAATCAATAGAAGTAATGGCACCCAAGTGACCTGTCTCATCTGCGGGGCGGAAAGAGACGTAAAGTTGGGTATCGTCTGCATAGTAGTGGACAGACGGAAGATATTTTTCGACGACGTCTAGTAACGAGCTCGTATAGATGGTAAACAAGAGCGGTCCTAAACAGGAGCCTTGGGGTACTCCGCAGTTCAAATCAAACTTCTTCGACAGACACCCACGAACTAATATCCTCTGACTACACCCTGATAAATACGATCGGAACCACTTGGACACCCTGCCCCCAAGTCCCAGCGTATTGAGTGCTTCCAACAAGATATTATGCTCGACTGTATCGAAAGCAGCATTAAGATCGAGTAGCACTAGAAGGGTTACATGTTGTTTATTCATATTGAGGATGTCATTCTTCACTTTCAGAAGAGCAGTTTCAGTGCTATGATGCACCCTGTAAGCTGATTAAGCGATTCGTGTCGACCATGTGTTTGTGTATCTGATGGAAGACTGCTTTCTCAGTGAGCTTCGATAAGAAAGCTAAATTGCTTACTGGTCTGAAATTCTTGAATATGATATCAAGACCAGGCTTTTTGAGTAACGGACCTACTACTACCTCCTTCCAGGACTTAGGAAAGTGTCCGGCTTCTAATGATTTGTTAATGATCGTAGTAATGATGGGAAGAAGAGCATCACATCTGCTGACCAAGCGAGAGGGCATTGGGTCAAGTGGGCAAGACTTTAATGTTGAGTTATGGATAAGCGACTTAACACTGTAGGCAGACAGGATCTTGAATGCAGATAACGATGGAGTGGACCGAGTAAAGCTATCAACAGGGGTGGATGCGGAGGCAGGTAAATCTGTAATATCAGCATCGATTTGTCTCTGGATTGCATCAATCTTTGACACAAAATACTTTCCAACGTCGTTTGCAAAAGTGGGGGCGTGCAGATTCGGAGGTAACTCATCGCCCTGCGACTGATTGAACAGGCGTTTACTAACACGAAACAACTTTCGCTGATTACAGCTTTTATCCCCGATGATTTTAGTGTAAAACGCCTGTCATGCCTTGTTCATAAGATTGTTAACAGCATTGCGCTTAACTTTGAAGACAGCCAAGTCGGAATCAAGTTTCGACAATCTCCATCTTCTTTCAGCTTTCCGTTGCTCTCTCTTGGCTTGTCTGATTTCGTCTGTGTACCATGGAACTTGCGGACGTATAACAATCGTTCGAGTCTTAACGGGGGTCATGTTTGTCCAGCACAGCTATTAGGGATTTGTTATAGGACAAAAGAAGTTCCTCGAGGTCGTCCGGTGGATTTTTACACAGCTCAGAATTAGCTAGGTCATCATTCAGGGAATCCACGTTCACTAATTTAATTTTCCTATACGAGAGAGTCCTGGTGGAGAAAGAAGGCTTTATTGAATGAAGATGACACAACACTGGTGCATGATCAGAGAAATAGCAGTCGACTCGAGGTGTGGATCTTACAATCTGGTCGGACTGGCGGGTGATGATTAGGTCCAGGGTGTGACCGTGAATATGGGTTGGACCCACCACATGCTGTTGTAAGCAGAAAGATTCCAGCAAATCTCGAAATTTGGTTGAGTCACTATTGCTAAGTACATCTACATGGATATTAAAGTCACCGACGATCACCAACTGTTCTTTACAGAGAATAACCGTTTCTAGATAGTCACTAAAATCGTTGAAAAACGTGGTCATGGGGATCCTGTGATTATCAGAGTCAGACTGAGGTCGATAGACTATAACCAAACGAAGATCGTAGGAAGAAGCCAGCTGAACAGTCCACTCTGAAAACTCAAATGACATTTTAGCACCACCATCCACTTACTTGACCGTCAGCGAGTCCCTGAACAATAGAGCTGTACCACCGCCTTGACGACAATCACGTACATGATCTAATAGCTTATATCCATCCAGACAAAGTTCTGCTCGGATTGCATCATCACAACAACGTAACCAAGTCTCTGTAACAGCGACTAGGTCAGCTTTGCACTCGCAAATATAATCGAAAAAGGCCGCTGACTTGTTTCTGACGGAACGCGAGTTAAGTAGACACAGAGACAATGGCGTACTAGAGGACTTAATGAAAGGTACACGCTTGATTGATATTCGTGTTGGTGATTGGTGTTGGTTTAGATACGAATGGGTGGAGTATCTTCTCTCAGAAATGCGCACGGGAATATGTGAGTCGACAGGTGGAGCGGAACCGACTGATCGCTGGTTTTTAGAGACATGAGTAGGGTCAAATTTCTTCAGACCATTTCCCCAGCCGGGGTTTACTTCGATATCACCAGACAGAAGCAAAATCCTACGTGTAGCCGTTGCATTGGGGTAGTAAGCAATTCGGCATTTCGAAAATTTGCACTTTCTCACTCGGTGATATACTTTAGGTGTTTCAGGCGGATGATAATCACCAGTTATTGATGTAGGAAGTGCGAAAAAAGGCCAATCAACGCAAACGTTGACACCAGTTATTGTTGTAGGAAGTGCGAACAAAGGCCAATGAACGCAAACGTTGACACAATGGAATACAGCAGTCTGCTCTTGGAAAGCTTTCGCTAGCCACCATCGACGAAGGAAAAATGTAATCATTTTGACTCGAAAGTTGGATATTTCCATTCTCTGACATCGCTTCACCTAACTCTTTACCGTTACCCATCCTTGTGTCGCTTTTCCAGTTTTAAACAGCTCCCCAGTTCCGATAGAAATGCCTAAGATCAGAGATCGTAAAAGAACGTGCCTTCGCTTCATAACTAATTATGACCATTATCCAAGGGTAACAATAGAACACGAACGACCTCTTTGTCCACAACGAAGCCTGAAAACGTAAATTGGCCACCGTAAAGAGTTAAAAGGCTGACGTTTCGAGCGTTAGCCCTTCGTCAGAGCAATTGACGGAATTGTGGGTTATGCGGGGATTTATATGCAGAAAATAGAGCTACGCTATTGGTGGGAATATAGTGACGAAGAAACAAGAGCAAATTAGTTGAATGAAAAGCGCTCGTTGGTACCGTGGGGATTAAGAGTGCCGATTTGGAAGATATATTTTTGTTCTAGTGTTCTGCGGCTTTCCGAACTGCCTAGATGTAAGGTTGGATGCGTCCTTGACATTTCTTTGTACGTCGCGAAGGTAGTCGTCTTCCTGTTTCACCGATGTATAACTTATTGCAATAAGTGCAAGTTGTGCAGTAAACGACATTGGCGGAGGTACACGTAAAGTGATGAGTGATCTTAATGGATCTCTTGGGTCCCGATATTTTCTCTACGTTATGAATTGAAAGGACAAGCTTTGCATCGTGAGCGAGCGCATTTGAAAGTTTCAGATTGGTCACTGGTTTGAAATGAACTTCTGACCCAAAAAATTGCCCATGTTTTTGCCACGTTTAAATGAAATTAGTGGGGGTTGCGAAAAGATAGTAACAGTCTGTGAATCGTTTTGGAGAAATTTGAAGTTTTAAAGAATGATAGGTTTAACTGCGCGGTTGTGAGGGTGAGATGTGAAAGCGAATGGAATGCGGTCAGTGATTTCCTTCTCAGCCGTTTATGGTGCTGACTGTAGATCAATTGTTTGGGCACGGTGGTGGCCCGCTTGAACGACAGAAACAGGATAGTCACGTTTATCGAAAAACTGGTACATTGCCTCTGATTTTTCCGAAAAATCAGAGTCGTCACTACATAAACGACGAAGTCTGAAAAAATGTGAAAAAGGTCTGGAATTAGACATGGTTTGATGCTACTCTGGTTTACGGATTTAATGAATGTAACCGAAGAAGTTACAATTCATAGATTCAACGTTTCGACAATCCTGTCTAGTGCCTTCATCAGGGGTGATCTAAACGCTGCAACAAGGGGTCTTTTTATATGATCGCTAATTAGCTGGCTTTATCGGAGCACACATGCCTAACTAACCATACAATTGGGTGGGATAATTCTAAAATTATCACCACTAATCGGCGTTACCACCAGCGCCTTTGTTTGGAGGCTTGGCATATTAATCCGCCCACGCTCCTTTAAATCGTGACGATGGCGGCTGGCTGACGCCTATTTACACCTCGTCAAAAAAAGGCAGCTAATTAGATCACTCCTGATGAAGGTACTAGACAGGAGTGTCGAAACGTTGGGTCTATGAATTGTAACTTCTTCGGTTACATTCATTAAACCTGTAAACCAGAGTAGTATCAAACCATGTCTGATTGTCCACCTGGTTGCCGTGTGAACTTTAATATATTTTAGGCATGGAATTCTTGAGGCGTGATGGATGCGAAGATGAATACAACAGGTAACTATGTGAATCTGTATGTTTGTAGTAAACACTAGCGAACTGCCTAGATGTAAGGAAAGGCCGCAATCTGCTATATGTTGTTTAGAGTGATTAGGGAGATTAAAGTGTCTAGCGCCTGGTTTGGATGCGTTCTTGTCATTTCTTTCTACGTCGTGAAGGTGTTCTCAGAATTGGTCACCTAGTTGTCTTCCTTTTTCACCAATGTATAACTTATTGCAATGTTAAAATGGCCCTTTAAGAGAGTCCATTTAGACTTCCGAATATGAAGTGTTTCGAAAGTATCTTTGTTCAAGGTGTTAGAATCATCCTCTTTGTTATGAAAAGAGGCTTTCAACTGAACGCGGCGAAGGAATTTTTCAACGTCTTGCTTAACTGAAAATTCGTCGGTTTTTCCGGAAATGGGAACAAAATTTAATCTTAAAATTTACCCCCTTTATTCATTTGTCTTTTAATTGCTGCGATCACTAACTCTTGCCCTAGAATTTTTCAGTCCACAGATCTCACAGCAGCGGACCATGCCAAGCCTGAAGAAACTTACCAAGGAGCTACGCCAGGAAATCGTGAGTTACCTTTTTCCTTTTCCCCCATTGGTAAAGATCTAGCATTCCGTTTAGCCATTCTCATTTTTTCCCCAAACTAGGTTTTGTAGCCACATCCATTTCATCGGCCGTTGCCTTCATTCCAAAGTTATTCCTGGGGGTTTTCGCTTCAATTTTCACGCATCTTCTCTTTCTCATTCTAATCAAAATCGTCACCAAATTCAGTGCACCCAAAGTGCTTTTTCACGTTATATTATGAGAATCACAATCAGAGTTATGTGCCAAAAAAGGTAACGAACTGAACGAACAAATTCTACATTGCCGCAGTCAAAGCCCTTTTAAATCTGAGCGTAGAGCCAGTGATGAGTTCGGGAGAGCAAATCAAATTATTAAAATGTCGTCCAATCCAAACGGCGGCTACGCGTTAAAATTGTCAACAGTCTTCAGGAAAAATGGATTGGGTATTTGCATATTATGAATTATTAATTCTTCTAAAGCAGTGGCGTCGCCTTTTCGAAATTTGGATCCACTGGCAGAACCATTTTTTCGACTGCGGAGGTAATTTCCACTAACGAGGTTCCAAGTATCCGCTCGCTGAAATCCCCCGTTCTTGTAGATATTTTTTAAGCTATGCCACACTCATTGCGTTGAGTCAGCTTTACTTTGTGATCTGCCATTCTTAAGTTTAACTCTTCTTGAAAGTTGTTCTGAGTTTCGCAGAATTTCCCACTTGAGTTACTTAAGGTTAAAAAAAATCGGTATATTTATCAGCTAAGGAAATCCACACCCAGATACGCAATTTCGTGAGGGAATTAAGGCTTCCTCACGTTCTACAGCGATTCGTGGGCACTAATTTTCAGACAGAAGTGATTTTATTTAACAATCTACGCACACAACACCCCGAAAATACCTGATCAGATACATCACTGTACGCAGAACTAGTTCGATTATTCCATGCCGCAATTCTTCCTGTAACATTCTTCGCATCTGTTTCAACGGCAGCGAAATGACAACTTACTTGATAAACGATCAGAAATGATAAAAGAAAGACGCAAATTTTGAGCGAAGAACACTTCTTTAAAGTGGGAAGTTATTTAAGAAAAATTTCCAAAGCCGAAGTTTGGACACATGTACTGCGAGCTCAATATTCGTCGTATCGCGATGACGAAGGGCTAACGCTCGAAACGTCAGCTTTTTTACCCTTTACGGTGGCTAATTTACGTTTTCAACTCAGTTGTTAACACTAAATTACCTGCTATACTCTCCCACCGACGCAGCACCACAGTTTCTTTAGAAACTTACCCCTTTATTCATTTTGTGTAAACCTCGTTCTATATAAAAACGCGCAAATTATAGGCACAAAATTTATCAGTAGCGAGTGTCGCGAGAAATTTTCCACCTACTTAAGATACATCGCCATCTTGAATTGACTGTTTCCGTGTACCGCGTAGACAGCTACTTAAGATACATCGCCATCTTGTATTTAATTCTTTCCGAGTACTGCAGTTAAGCAAGACGTTGAAAAATTCTTTCAACGCGTTCAGTTGAAAGCCTTTTTTCATGACAAAGAGAATGATTCTAACACTTCGAACAAAGATACTTTCGAAACAATTCAGATTCGAAAGTCTAAGTGGACTCCCCCATAGGGCCTGTTCACATCTTTAGAAAAGTCTTTAAAGAAGTGATCTGCGTATCTAGAAAATTTAGAGGGAAAAGTTTTCTCAGAAGAGAGAGCATTTTACCATTTGAATTAGCGAATTATTCCCAGTATATCCGAAGATATAACTTTTTCAGTTCTAACCGTGACACTGCACCAGATTATAAACATCTCAAAATAATTTCACAGTAGCGTCTCCGACACGTAATTGAAAAAAAAGCACTTTTTCCTTGCAAACATATCTAAATAGGTTTGATCTGCACATCGTGGAAACTTTGAAGAAAAATTTTATATATTCGAAAAGAGATCAATTTACCAATTCAATCAACGACAAATGCTCAAAGGTCTTAAATACGATACGTTGAGTTGAACAAGGTGACGCTATTTGATGGAATGACAGAATGGTGGAATGGGAAAATCAGTCCTTAAATAGGTGCCCTTACTTAGTGGGTCACTAATATTTATTGCAACAGAAATAAAGTTATTATGACATTGACAAGTAAACAGGTTAGTATTAAGTGTATCTTGCTTGAACCAGTCTTGCAGATGGTGTCAAACATCACTGACAATATTCGTTGAAACTGGGTCAATCTTAAACTGTTTTCTCATATATCACCTCACTCACACCACAAAGTAATAAAATTCAAACAAGAACTTACCTTGGACAACTTGATGCTTGATGGTAAGAAAAACTGAAAAGATTTGAAATACAAGTTAAAAATTGTCCCAGTCATGAAATGTTCTAATAAAGGTAATTCTAATATAGAACTTAATGAAGAGCATGAAAACATGAGATCACTTGCACCGTTCACAGGATTTAATCAAAAACAAAGTACACCCGAACGGATAGTTTTATGAACATTAATAGGTCAGAGTGCACAAACTAACATGCATTCTTTTCTACGCATGTTTGCATTTTGGACAACAAGCATGCACTCCCTGACCACAATAGTCTTGCTCCTTGTTAAGTTCTTTAGATCGCAACTTGCAAAAGCAAACTTACAAACTTCATCCTAAATAAGTAAGAAATGCATTGCATCCATCATCTGTGTTGCAGTAACATGCACAATTGAAAACTAAAATTCTTGTACATGATTATCACCAGCCTGATTTGAGCACTAATTTAACAGTGTACATGTTATGCCTCAGTAAGACACTAACTGTCCTATGCACCCACTGTTGACATGCATTCCACTCAGTCCTATAACTAATACTAATAGGTAAGTGGTAGAACCTATAATTTGCTCCAAGTAGAAAAATGTTAAGTTAAGTAAAAACTATTTAGAGCCTAAAGGGTAAAAATTCAAGATGACCTAAAATTTTGGCCAAGCCTACTTCAACACAAACCAAAACAATAACATTAATCACAAAGATCAACACAGGAATAATTTTATGTGAGCAAAAAAACATCATTGATGGAGTCATATGATGATTAATTGTCAGCACCAAACACATTTCTCACTGAATCATCAAATGATTCAAGAGGGTACAGCAGTGGAATCATATGATGACATAATTGCCAGCGAAGCTTTTGTGACTACATTTAGTTGTAAGAAAAAGATGAATTTTGAGTTGCTTACAACTATCACATGATCACAGAAAATGAATGAGAAAATAAGATGCAGCTTGCCATGGTAGTTTCACTTCTTTCTTCATTTAATTTGTTAGGTATGGGGATTCACATTGGATATTGACAGAATTGGAATGAAATCAAGACAAAACCCTCTAACTGCATCTATAATTTTTCAGAAGCTATATATTAGATTATACAAGTGACAAACCTACATGAACATGGATGTGCTCTAAATTTTGCAACTTTGACAGCATTGTAACACAATTCCCTTTGATATTTTGCGATTTCTTACCCTAAATACACTTTCGACCTTTCTAAATTACATAGATGTTAAAATTGAACAGACACTTGAGTTAGAAAATATGTGCAAAATATAATTTTATAAAATAATTCAAATAGTATGCGGGCTCTGATTGGCCATAAAACCATTTCACATGAGCTATGTAAACACGGTTTTCATTCCTCTTTCATTAGTTATTTTATAAAAGAAATGTAAAATGGTTTCAGTGTTTACATAGCCTGATGTAAACACTTGGGAGGTTGGGAGTGAGATTCTTGTGGACCCACTAACCAAATTTTGTTGAGCCTTACCAATCTCCAAAGGCACCATCATCCTGTCTTAGAGTAGGACAAATTTTTTTCAGGTGTGAAATCTGGCAGATTTTCCAATTTACAAGCCATGATTTGAAAGAATGCCACAACTGAGAAAATTTGATCTTGCTTTTCAAATGAGCATCTTCCAGGCAGAGGGCCACTTATATGCAGCGATCAAACTGTGAAGATTGGAGATTTGTACCTTGTGATGCTGCATGACAACCAGTACTCAGAATACAACTATAATGGTTCCCAAGTTTACTTTTAAGCTGCATCCCCGAGTCTACTGTAAGTACTGTAAAATTTGTATATTCAAGCGATGGACATTTGGTGGTTAACAAATAATTTTCTGTTTTTTAAGTGTGCCACTGTTTGATAAATTGAAAATTTTGCAGTAACAAATTTTGGTGAGATTTTTGGTGGATCAAAACAAATTTTGAAAGCCCAGTGTGTTCAGACCCTTAATGTGAAGAGACTTGACCTGGCCGCTAGGGCCTAGGAACTCAGGCTATCATGACCACTAACCGGCTCAAGGGAGTCAGACATTTTGTGTTTACGTTCTTGTTACGTTCGAGGAAATATGTATTTCTCTATCTACGTTGGATCGGAACTCTACTGACTGCTTTATTATTGTAAGTTAGCCATCTTACATTGCATATCATCTCTAGGGGTAACCAGTCAACTCGCCGACGGACCAACTCGCCGACGCCAACTCGCCGACGTATAAAATCGAGTAGAGACGTCGGCGAGTTGGTCGTCAATCCAATACAACTTATTAGAAGTTAAACATACAGAAAAGTAAACGATATTTAGTAAAAAAACATTGGTGAACATTGGTGAACATCTAACAGAAGCTTAAACATTGGTGAACATTGGTGAACATCACCAATGACTATAACAGCTTAAGACGCGAACGAGTTATTGTGCGACAACAACGCCGTAAAGACTCATCACGTCAATCGCTTATATTTTTTAACGAAAACTTGGCTTTCTAGACAAGATCTTTAGTAAAAAGCATTCTTTTTATTTGCAACAAAGTTTATAAGGATCTCAAGGCGAATAAAGTAAAGTAAACATCACAATGACTCTGACAGCTTCAAACGCGAACGAGATAATTATTGTGTGACAACAACACTGTAAAGACTCGTCATGACAATCGGTCAGATTTTTTAAGAAAACTTGGCTTTCTAGATAAGATCTTTAGTAAAAAGCAATTCTTTTTATTTGCAACAAAGTTTATAAGGATCTCAAGGCGAATAAAGTAAAGTAAACATCGCCAATAACTACATCCGCTTCAGACGCGAACGAGATAATTATTGTGTGACAACAACACCGTAAAGACTCATCATGTTAATCGCTCAGATTTTTTAACGAAAACTTGGCTTTCTAGACAAGATCTTTGGTAAAAAGCAATTCTTTTTATTTGTAACAAAGTTTATAAGGATCTCAAGGCGAATAAAGTAAAGTAAACATCGCCAATGACTACATCCGCTTCAGACGCGAACGAGTTATTGTGTGACAACAACACCGTAAAGACTCATCATGTTAATCGCTCAGATTTTTTAACGAAAACTTAGCTTTCTAGACAAGATCTTTAGTAAAAAGCAATTCTTTTTATTTGCAACAAAGTTTATAAGGATCTGAAGGCGAATAAAGCGACGTTAACGTCGCCAATGAACAAAATTGGCCGTAGACGCCAATGAGTTGTGTGAGTCATTGGTGATGTTTACTTCGCCTTATTCGCCTTGAGATCCTTATACACTTTGTTGCAAATAAAAAGAAATGCTTTTTACTAAAGATCTCGTCTAGAAAGCCAAGTTTTCGTTAAAAATATGAGCGATTGACATGATGAGTCTTTACGGTGTTGTTGTCGCACAATAACTCGTTCGCGTCTTAAGCTGTTATAGTCATTGATGATGTTCACCAATGTTCACCAATGTTTAAGCTTCTGTTAGATGTTCACCAATGTTCACCAGTGTTTTTTTACTAAATATCGTTTACTTTTCTGTATGTTTAACTTCTAATAAGTTGTATTGGATTGACGACCAACTCGCCGACGTCTCTACTCGATTTTATACGTCGGCGAGTTGGCGTCGGCGAGTTGGTCCGTCGGCGAGTTGACCGTAATTCTCTCTAGGTATATGCATCGTTTTTCTTGTGAGCTTATAAGGACTGTATTTTAGTATAGTTCGGTTGTTATTTGTATCATAGGACTCCTTCTTTGTTGTATGATAATTAAAATTGTGTCAAGCAACGAGGAGTGTATTTCTTCATAATAGATTCTTCCAGTTAAGCAAAGGTAGCAGAGTAGTTCAAAAGATGCAGCATACCTTTGCAAAGATGATTCCTAAGATGATATACACAAAGAAAAACCAGCTCCTTTAGGAGCCACCACCTAAATATATATATCACTGACCAACAATGATTTTGGGTAAGACTAGTAATTTGTGTTTGTTGATGATCATGTGGCTAATGACTGAATATATATTTAATTTACTGTATTCTCTCATAGACAATTTTTTTTTGACAGAAATACTTGGCTATAAGCCCAACTACTCTTTTCTTCTTTGAGTTTGACTAGTTCTCAGTTGATTTTCATGCAAAGATCACTCAGCTTGTAGGCAAATAAATACAGTAGCTTACCATACTTGTACAACCCTAACCCTAAGCAACTTGTAGACTATAGTTGTAGTAGTAAAATTTTTGTTTCAAAGTGTCCTTGTTGAGTATCCATCATAATGGTGTAACATTGTAAAACTCAGTCTGAGAGTTTTTCTTTAAAGAGGAAAATTACTTACTGGCTTCAAGTAATGGTTTATGGCTACAAGTGCCTGTCAAGTGAAAAATCAGCACATTTTCCATTGGCACTGTCATTGCAAAATTATTAGGGGACAACTTATCGAGGAAAATTTGTAAAGCAAAATTTTTTTAAAGTAATGCCTGTTATACCTTCATTCTTATCTAACAGAAAGATTGATAGCTATTTACATTATCTTTATGCATTTTTTTTTACAGTTTTAAATCACAGAATTAATGTTCTTCATGACATACATGTATTAAATTTTGACCACACCACTGTCTTATTATGTTTTAACAGTCTTATTAGTGACTAAATTGGACCTCTTATTAACAGCTGAACAATGTCCTAAATATTTTATCATTGACTAGTGTACCTGATCTGAAATAAAAAAAGTAGAGTTTATCAAAGTAATGGACTTTTGGTCACATTTTCCACAACTTGAAACAAAATTTTAGCCAGTTAGTTTTCAAATAATGTAATTTTTTGCAAAGTAGCATTAATCGGGTCAATAATATTTACCATTAAGATTCCAAGGACGATTCTGAGGTACTCACCAACTCTTGTAGTAGGCATCCTTATTGAATATAATTTCTACATGCTTATTGAGGAAATGCTAGCTTTCACTACAGTCAGAGGCTTGACAGTTGTGTAAATTGTGATATCCTTGTAAATTGTCAAGGTGACCTGCATTCTATATTTTAAAATTATGACAATAACTGAGTCTTTGCAGAGCAGGAAAAATTTCAGCAGAAATCTATGGCCAATTTATAGACAACATCATAGAATTTCTCATAATGCCATAAAAGATCTCACAGTCCCTGCTGAAGTTACAGGTAACCTTATTTTGGGGTAAAAAAAGTACCATTATCTGTTTTCTGACACATGAGTGGCAGTCCAAATCAACATGGTTAAGGTTCACAAACTATAAACATCCAACCCTCTTACCTGCCCAGTTCAAGGTCCATTCTGCAAGTAACTGACCAAGTTTCAAGGCCCAAGCACAAAGCACCCAGGCCATAAAGCCAAAAAAGAAGGGAGGTTTGGTAACTTACAGCAGGGACCAAGAAAATGATATAGATAAAATATTTATAATATTTCTGGGTTCACATAAATGGTTTCAATTTAAATTCAAATGTAGCAGGCTGTACATATATAATATTCACCAACTGGGAGGTCCGTATTGGGAAAAACTGTACCCAAGACAGACGGCACAGTTTTTCCCAATACGGACTGACCTAGGCTGGCAAATGACATTTTTATTTTTTTCCTTAAACCTAATGAAATTCTTCACAAAACGGAACCTGAATGAGTTCAGGCTGTAATTACAGCAAGATCTACCATAAACTTTCGAGCAAGTAAATGGTGGTTAATATAGAGGTAATTAAAATTAAAGAGAGATGCTTCACTGAAACATTTTCATTTGTGTACCGATAAAGGTGATTTAAAAGGCTTCCAACAAACTTTGAAACATTGAAAGTTTGGCAAGGACTGTTGCAACAATGTTTTCTTCAAAAGCAGTCAATGATCTTACAGAGAGTATTATTCACTCTCATCAATGGTTAATTAATGTTCAAAGATTTACTTCTGTTCAGTAAGTAAATGGCAGGGAAAGTAATAATTACTGTAAGTAAATTCAAATTTTTGATTTTTAAGTTGTGAAAGTTTGCTTGTTTGTTTACTGCAATGGTGCGTGTAAATCTGGTCTTTTCTCCAAAAAACAAAATTCGAATGGGACACTTCAATTAGACACAAGGGGATTTAATGCGGCTTTCTCTCATTGAATTCCTAAATGTGTAAATTGAACAGACTTGGAAAGACCCACTGAAAGTGTCTCTGTAGAAGAACTTAAAACTTCGCTCACCTTTTATCTATGGACAAATTGTTTGAGAGAATTCAGATACTTAATGAATGAAAGTTCCATAGATTAATCCAATTGTAACCAAATTCCTCACGTTTTAACTTTCCAGGTACTTTTTGTGAAGGATCAAAATTAATTACAGACAGGTTTTAGGCCACTAGTCAACTTATTTAATGATATATACACATTCATTTCAAAACCAAAGTGATTTGAGAGAGAGAGAAAAGAGAAGATTAATAAGTTATTTATCGGCTTGAGGTAGCGACCAACATCTTTGCTTAAAAATACTGCCCAGCCGGAAGAATGAGATATTTTTATGAAAAATGGCAGTGAAGGTAGGGACGCACTCTGCGATCCATGAAAGCTTTACCATTGCCCATGGGCAGAGATAGGAAAATACTGTGTGCGCTAAGAACAAATCAGATTGCAAGATTCATTACTGTACCCTCTGAGAAAAAAATAAAGTGAAATATCACACTAAATTGACCAATCATAGTGCGCATACTGACTATAATAACTATGATTCATACAATTTTATTTCCTTATCAGAAATAGACTCATGACTTTAACATGAGAGCTGACATCATAGTGATGATGCAGACACAAATTTCAATCATAACATGTTCTCTGCATTGCTCAAATCTTGATATAATTAGTTATGATACAAAGAAGACAACCACATCATTATATGAATCATCATAGATAAATCAAGAACCTGAATTCAAGTGTTAAATCTGGGTACTGATCAATTAAGACTCAAATTCACATAAGTACATTGTCCACATTGAACACTTTCCACAAAGAATTATGCCTGTGATCTAATTAGCTGTGATCTAAGTTTTTCTGGTGCTAGTTCAATCGTTGGTCAAATCATCTTGTGACTAAAACGAAATCAATACTGCGCAACAAAGATTTGATGGCAGCGATGAACTAAATACTAAGCATTATTTGCATAAACGAGTGGACCTCAGCAAGCACTGAACATCATTGTCCTCTTACTACTTCATCTTACAGAAGGAAAACCTGACTATTTATGAGGTGTAAAATTATGCGGATTAGGTGGAATTCTCTATTTGGTTCTATTTTACAATAAAGCACATAACAGATATTTTCAATTTGGCTTTACACACGTATTTCCGCTTTCACAAATGCTCTCTACATGAAAATGTTAATTAGAGGTTCGTCTTCGCATCTAACGCAACAAAACATGTGAGGATGGTTTCGATAGCATATTCACATCGATATCGACAATTTCCTTCAGAGCACTTCACTTAATAAACGACAATATCTAAATCATTTGTATTTTACCCTGTGCAAACAAACGGATGATATGAGGCTTTCATCTGCGAGTCGCCATTTACAAAACGAGAAAGTTCACAGTGTTCAAGGGTTACGACGTCTGATAAAATTTCCGCACAGCCCCATCCTATTGTAAAACAAATCTGTTTTCCCAATGGCAATCTATTGTTTTTGTCTTTGTTTTCTCTATCCAAGAACTGAATGTATAATGTAGTATGGGGCTGTGCGGTAAAGTTTCCGCATAGCCCCATCCTATTGTAAAACAAATCTGTTTTCCCAATGGTAATCTATTGTTTTTGTCTTTGATTTCTCTATCCAAGAACTGAATGCATAATGTAGTATGGGGCTGTGCGGAAATTTTAACCGACGTCTTAGCAATAATTTTGATCGAAGAATTCTCCGCCTTGCTTCACCTGGGTGAAATATTCATACGCAAGCAGGGTCTTCATGAGTCTCGAGTGCATTCCTGGTTTGTCAAAATACGAAACTGCACTACAGGCTTGGCGGCGAACAGAGAGTAAAACTTACTTACCCAAAGTGGTGAGCATCAAGCTGGCTATCGATGACATCTTGCCAGAATCTCAACGTTGTGAAAGCAGTACAATAACAGGTGTTGATGTTTGCGTAGAAACGTAGTCGCGGTAAAGTAAACCCTCAAAGGCCCTTAAAAAGGGGGGCTTGATCGGAGGCTCTGCAGGTAACCCCTTTACGGCCCATAGGGCATTTCGAAAGGCCCACTCGATGATGTCACGCGATGACAATAAATTTGTGCTTTTGTTTCGAGTGGAAAACCTAGATGTTTCTCTTCCTAAGATATGCCGCATTCCCGAATTACATAATCTATTCTGAAAATATTTATCTTCAACACTGTACACATTATGACATTAAAATCAGATGCAAATACGAAAAAATCGTCAACAATCATTCAAGATTTTACCGGTTGGCTTCACACGATATCTCTAAATTTTTCATTTTTTTATCATATATGTCATATTCCTTTATATATAGTATTATTACAATTTACAGATACAGAAAAAAAAAACCAGATTAATAGCGAGGAAAGCCCACCCAAGAAGTAAAAAAATATAGATATAATATTTAGAAAAATAATGTGTTGAGAAGCCATATAATAGTCCGTAGTCTTTTGTACAATTAGTAGTTATTAATAATTTCATGGATATTCTAAAGGATGCGAGAGATGAAGAACCACTCATAGAAAGGACCTTAAAACACCCCAAGACCTAAAAAAGCTTTGGAAAATCCCCTTTGATACTAAAGCAGTAACCGTGCATATACCGCGCATTATATCTGGTATCAATGCGTCCTACTGATAGTTACCCCGCTCTGAACCTGAGAAAAAACATAGTCTAATCCCATTGAATCCGACAGTATTGTGATCAAGAGAAAGTCAGTTGAACAATAGCATGTTTTCAAGTTTTCTGTTTTCTGAGTGAGCTCGTAGGAGAAGGTTGGGGAACTTGAGGAAAGTTTGGGTGGGATGTGCCGTTAAAACCTAAAATCCCTGATCCGATTAAAAATAAAAAAAATTGTGTTAATTGTAGCGTATCGATCTCAAGTAGCCAAAAATAAAAGATAATGAGTCAAAATTTATAAAACTACACATTGTCACTAACACACATTTTGAGTGTGCATCGTCAAGTTTACAAGTTGTTAAAAGCTTCCAGTCTACAAGGACACCATAGCCTTCTAGTCACTAAACTTGTGCACTTGTTCGATGAGCAAGACCCCGAAAAACAATTAAGTGAGTGTCCCTCGGAGGTAGGCTCATGGACTTATCTTTTTCTGGTATGACTGTTTTCCTTTCTTTACATAATATCTACCCTTCTGTTATTTATCATTTATTTACTTCTCCATTTTCTCCATTAATTACATATATGATTATGTTAAAGGTAGTTTTGTCTAAAATATGTTATTATGGAGGAGCAGCGCACATCTAAAGAAAGCAATGTTGCGTCCCTTATTACCCTCTTCAATAATCTTCGTGGACTTTCCGCCGATACATGACAATAACTTCCTCCACCATAATGGCATAGAAGTTAAAAACGTTTTTCAGCTTGGTCACAATTTGACAGAAAGCGGATTCATCAAAATTCTCACAATAAGAAGCCGCCAGCAACACGCTTCTTACCTGAAGTAACCTTAGAAACAAATCGTTTAAATTCTGTTCAGAGTTCATGCTACAACCGTAATCAAGTGTTCTGAAGGATTTCAAAAGGCACGGAAACAATGTTTCCTTCTCCATTTCTTCAACCGCGTTTAGAAAAATTTGTAGAGTGTCACGCAAGTTACAAGTGGAGTGATCCTCGCAAAGCAGCATACGTTCACACGTTTGCACATTGTATTCCTGGAAAGAAACTGGTTTTTTTGAGAAAGCTATTTCCTTTGAAGCATACCTGAGATACTTAGCATGTTGAGTTAAGGATTTCAATAGCAAGCACAGTTCTTCCACTTTGTTTCTTATTTGCTTATTTTCCTCCAATCCTTCTTCAATGAAGCTACAACCTTGCAAAAGTTGAATTCTCAACGATTTCACCATACGGCAAAACGTCCTCAAGTCCATTTCTTTGTATAAATATATTTCATTCGGATTTATTTTTGCTTCAAGTGCGTTCACAGATAAATCCATCAAGACGCTTGGAAACAAAACTGTTTCTTCCAAAACTGTTGCTGATTTCACGAAGCGTTCAAGGACAGTTACGAAACATAGCCCGCTCTCAGTGTTGTGGTCGGGTCGGTTTTTTTCCGTTGACGCTTCCATATCCATGACAGTATTTTCCT